TGTTTATATGTTGATTCAGATTTATAGATTGTATGAGGTCATTACATTTTATGTATTTATTTTGATGATTGCCAATGAGACAACTATCCACCAAAGTTCAAATGAAGTGGATATGAGCAATTATAGGCAACCGTACAGTCTTCAACAATGAGAAAAACCAATACCGTATAATCGGCTTTAAAAGATGCCCACATTAACAATATGAAACTATTAAATTGAGAAAACTAACGGCCTAATTTATAACAAAACAATTTACGAAAAAAACAAGTATGACAGACATCAACAAACAACAACCACCGAACTACAAGCTCCTGGCTTGGGACGGACACATAAAGAATGTGGCGGGGTTAAAGATGTTTGTGAGTACTTTACAAGTGAAAAATAAGAATTTCAAGATAAAAACCACATTTTTACTAAGAGTGATTAATGTCCATTGGCAATCATTTCAGGCATTTTGAAAAGATAAATTAATAATAAATTTAACAAGTAGCTTCTCAATGTGGGACGACCGGGGTGACTGAGAACATGTTATACAAGGATATAAAAATCTCACAGATCACCATGGAACCATGGAAGAATCATTATACGGCTATTGAATGGGCAAAAATGATCGATTTTCACGTTCACATAAAGAACTTATGCGGTTCCGTATTTACACATATAACATGGTTTAGTATTTATACATCACCACAACCAAACGGGCGCTAATTGAGGGAAGTCACACACAGCAGTCAGAGAATGTATGATCAATTTCTTATCATCTGATTACCCATGGGGATGATATGAATTATCTTCAAAAGTTTTGTTCCTCGTTTCAACCCGAGTTCTATACTTACCATAATTCTCTTCATAAGGTAAAAGTCCAATAATTTTATTAAGTTTCTCAAGTTTTCTATTATTAAGCAAACCAATTATAACTGACTTTCCCCCTCCATATATTTAGTTTTAAAAGTTTAGTAACATATATTTTAATTTAAAAACTAAGAAATAAAAATTTACACAGTTGCGAAAATGAATTGTCGATTAAGCATTGCATTTTATGGTTTATTTCTATCTTACAATAGTTAAATTATTATAATTTTAAGAAGTTTAATTATTTTTTTGGCAAAAATGATATTCATAATATTTGTTGCTTAGCTTTTTTTACTCAGTAAAGCATTGATAGATATATCTTTAGTCTTCCATCAATTTGAAAAAAAAGCTATTCTAATTTACACTTGTAAAAAGAAGTGAAATTGAAAGGAGTTCTGGGGCATACGTGAATTGCACAGCTATAAAAAAAATCAAGTATTTAAAGATAAAATGAAACTTATACATGAAATTAATGTTAAACATTTTAATTACTTTTTCTTTTAAAATTTCTTCAACTATTTTTCTTATTTCGTCATTTATGTTACCACTAACGTATTCCTTGACACTTTCTTTGATCGCTTCCGTTTTTGTTTTGACAACCTCACTTACATATTCCTTTACACGTCTGTTTGCTTTAGACATATCAATGGTTGCAAACAATGGAGCATTTTGATTATCAAGTAATTGAACATCAACGTCACCACCATTGACTGCAGTGGTCAATTGGGATAACAAACAAACAAACATTTTAAAAAGCGAAAAATAATCCATGTTTAAATTAGTAACAAATGATTGTAAGTGTTTTTTTCAATTATTAGATAGAATATCGAAGCTTTTCACATGTTTCAAGTGGTTTGTTTTTTATGAAATTTAATTAAACGCAGGACACTTATGAAATATGATTATAGAACGAATTCAAGTACATGTAATGATATTTTGTTTTAACACTTATTAATTATACACAATTAATGCTCCTCTATCCTTCCTACCCCCTTATTTGAAGTAATAAGATGTTATAAGAATCAATTGGAATTCTTCAGATAACCACATGTGTTTGTATAAAGAAATTAAATCATTTATGCTTAGCCCAATGGCTTTCTTTGTTAAATTCTGCGTTTCAAGCATTCAAAGGTAGTTTAAAGTAAGTGACAGTTACTTTATGTCGAAATTGTGTCTCATTTTGACTTTTGCTAAAAATAATAACATATCTTTAATTGCATCCAGGAAGGCAATGGGCTCGTGAAGTTTACAGAAACTGGTACTTCTGATCTTAGTTCGAAGTTGAAGATAATTGAGGACGCAAAAATACCAAATACAGCTAAGGTAAACTATTCCAGAAATTATAGGGAAATATGGTATCAGAACCAATGAGACAAGTATCCAATATAACAATTTATTTGCTTCATTTGCGCTTTCATTCTTTGTCTCTGTACGAGTGGCCATTGAATGATATTTAAGCCGGTTATTTAGAGGGATGCAATAGTTTTTAATTGTAGTCATTTTATAGTTGCAAACATGATGTGACGTTACCTAAGCTAGTCTCTCGTCATTTGTTAGTGTTGAAATTAGGTTAAAAATATTAGGACTTATATTGCCGAAGTGTTTTTGTGTCTTTGAAAAAAGATCTGTTATCAAAACCATATTGGTTATTTCGGTATGAAAAGAATGCATCCTAGGTAATAGTTTGAAATAAGGAGATGATATCGATATGAATGCCAATGAGACATCGAGGACGAAAACAACTATGCATATACGTACAACCTCCAACAATGTTCTTGTCTTTATAAAAATCAAATACAGGAACTCCAAATTTGCTTTCGGTATAAATAATAAGTTCTTTCCGCTTTCCCGCGGAAAAACCTATTGATTTTGTTCTGGTTCTGGTTAGTATTTTTGTTTCTTGCGAGAAGAATTTGTTTCGCAAGATGTGCTTAGATATTATGGTAAATGATATCGAACAGTTTATAAGCTTTTGAATCTAACCCCGTTTAACCGAAAACTTTTCCTTGTAAGAGTTATCTCCCCAAACACTGTTTTCCTTGTGATCGCTTCTCCTTCGTAACCGTAAAAAAACGGACACATTTATTTTTCAAAATAGCTCGTTATATACTCAGGTTGTCGAAAATAAATTTGAACGAAGATATCCGGAGACTCCATATGAGAGTTATTTCCCCATATGTATAAACATAAGTGATATGTATTTGTAACTGGTAAACCATAAATGATAGAAACCTAGAGGTTTTTTTTATTTAAGGTCCAGGGTCCACCAAAAAGAAAATTAGTTCAAGGTCAAAGGTCAAGGTCAGGTTTTAAATTTTAATTCTGGCTTATTATACCTTTTCATCAGAAACCGTCAAAGATATCGACAAAATATTTTTACTAAATTGTTAGTTACGATATGTCGCATCACATATACTGTGAAACACATCTAAGGCGCAACTAGAGCATTGATATAAAATATTTGTTTATTGACTGGATTATTAATTAAATAATCAGTGGTTTGTTTCTCTTTATGGAAATACTAATTTTTTATTCATGGCTTTTGGCCTTGATTTCGTGCATAATGTATCCAGCTTTTATATTTAAGACACATTTTTTTTAAAAAGTACACGACTTAAAAAGTAAAATAACAAAAATACCGAACTCCGAGGAAAATTCAAAACGGAATGTCCCTTATCAAATGGCAAAATCAAAAACTCTAACACATCAAACGAGTGGAAAACAACTGTCATATTCCTGACTTGGTACAGACATTTCCTTGTAAAGAAAATGGTGGAATAAACCTGGTTTTATAGCTAGCTCAACCTCTTACTTGTATGACAGTCGCATAAAATTCCATTATATTGACAACAATGTATGAACAAAACAAACAGACATAATAGGTAAAAATGTAAAAAATAGGGGTAAAGCAGTCAACATTGTGTAATAATCTTTATTACTATAAAAACAAACAAATGCACAAAAACACTATGGTGGGATGTATAAGTACCGAGCGACGGAAAAAAAAATATTAACAAAAATGGAATTAACAGTAAAGATTATGATTTACAAAGACAAAAAGGAACACTATAGCACGTAAATAAGATTGTAAACAACGTCAGTACATCATCTAACATCATAAATCATTTGTGAAGTTATTACGGAATATTTGTCAACAAGGTCTTGGTATCTTCCGATGTACTTTTTTAAAAATAGGACGAGACGTTCTTTGACATAACTCTGGTTCATCAGCTTTCTGCTCAGACACTGTTGACGTTTTATTTTTACATTATTTCATCTCAAAAAAGTGATACACATCATAAATTTGGGTGATCGTATTGTACTATAGTAATGTGGTGATCAAAAGTTATTTCGGCGAACTTTGGATTGATTATATGAACTACAGATGATGCCCCAAGTAGGCTGTGATAATATGTCTTTTGATTGAGTTAAGCCATTTTAATTGATATTCTATGGTGTGTCTTTCTATGTTGTGATGTTACACTATTGTTTCAGATAAGGGTGAAGGTTTGGTTCCATTAAAACGTTTAAACCCGCTTCAAGTGTTTGTACCTGTCTAAGTAAGGAATCTGATGTTCAGTAGTTGTCGTTTGTTGATGTGGTTCATAAGTGTTTCTCGTTTTTCGTTTTTTATATAGATTAGACCTTTGGTTTTCCCGTTTGAATGGTTTTACACTAGTAATTTGTGGGGTCCCTTATAGCTTGTTGAGCGGTGTGAGCCAAGGCTCCGTGTTGAAGACCGTACTTTGACCAATAATGGTTTACTTTTATAAATTGTTACTTGGATGGAGAGTTGTCTAATTGGCACTCATACCACATCTTCTTATATCTAAGTCAACACAGCAAGGTTAAGAAACTATAAACTCGGGAAATGCATTTTTGTGAATTTATTGACTAGACATGTGCACTTATTTGACCTCAATTAAAGTATGGTAAGCGCTCAAGGTATGCCATAGGATGGCAAACAAATTCAATACACAAATAAGATGGTTTTAAATCTCGAAACATTTCAGAACTCATTCAGCGGTTGATGAATGTACTTTTACCTATAATGGTTTACTTTTTGCAAATTGTGACTTGGATGGAGAGTTGTCTCATTGGCACTCATACCACATCTTCTTATAACTATTAGACAGATAAATATAGTATTGAAATAAGGACCCTTTTCCTTTATTGCAATAAGACAACATGTCACCACAAAAAAGTACGAGGATGTAAACCCATACAGGTTTACTACTTTCAATCTCACCACAAAGCTGTACACTTTTATATATCTGGACATTCATAAAGTAAAGATTACTCATTGTAAAGTGCTTGACGAATGTTTTAAACATGTTTCTATAGAATGTTGCAGTAATAAAACATTTTGCCGTCGTTTTCATACTTTAGTAATCATAACCATGGATGTATCCAATAGAAAACCCATATGAAAATACCAACTTATTTTATAGCTGTCCATGTCATTCAGACTGGCATAGTCACATGAATTGTACCACCATCCACCTTTGTTCATTATTGCACAAGCAAAGTTCTTATTATTATCATTGTCCCGGTCATAAGTTGAAAATTTTTGTCCATTTGCCCTCCCTTGAGAATCAACACTGTCAATGGAATCGCCTGTAAAATATACAAACTATCAATATATAAAACAAATAAAATATTTTAACTATAAACGTTTAAAAACACAGTTAACATTTTTTGTCTGATGTCTGATCAAGATGTGTCGTTTCTCTTTTTCGCAATTTGTGTCACAGATAAACGATATAAATCCGATTGTCAATGAAAGACATTCTAAGGATTTGTATTTTACAAGGTTCTTTGTCAATATGAACAATAGCAATTCAGTGAACCAGAGACTAAATGACGTGTATGCTAACAATTAAATAAACGTAATATACGGCCTTCAACAATGAAAGAAAAAAACATACCTTGTAGTCGACAGGATGAAATGTAAAACATTCAATCAAGAAAAGTCCTTTATGCTTAAACATTAAACAAACGTATAACAAAAACATGACTAACCGATTTAGTTTCAAACACGAGTTGAATAAAACTGAATATCAATACATTATTTGATTGTTGAGGTGAGCTGCAACATAAAATGTAATCCGAACATGAGCAGTATCTTATGAGTCGTGTATCATACGGAACGGCCTTCCAACTGTTGGAACACCGTTGATAAGTCTAGTACAGACAAAACAGAAAAAAGTGCGACTGGCGTTCAAATATTCTATGTCTGAAATCTTTGGTGAGTTATTTTTTTATTGATCATGCACATCATATAATGGTGTCAAATAAAATCAATTAATTTTGTATAACTGAGCATTAAAATAATATGTCCATATTACAAAAATAGTTTAGATTTCAATTTTAATATCATATACGAAGCATTAATTTGAAAGCAAATTGCTGTACCATTTAAGATTTCATTATAGTTTGATAACATACCTGCAGTTCCGCTATAGCCTGACACTTTTAACTTGTATTTACTCTTTTCGTCTCTGATTCGGAAATTTGAGTATTCTGCATATTTTTTTGTTCCATCTTTACTTTAGATGAATTTCACTCTATGCCGTCCATTTGTCGATATCGAGTGAATAAAATCATTTCCTGTAAATACCAAGTTTAAGAAAGTTTAGAAAGTGTGTTTGAAATGAAACAACTTCGGTATAAAATCATGAAAATTACTTTTAAAAAGATGAGAAAATATTGGTAAAGAAATTCAACAAAAAGATACTTTTATATAATTACGATCTGAAAAAAAACATATATTTTACCAAGAAACACTGTAACTGAGATGTATCAAGTAGCCTCTATTATCAGATCATTATATTTAATTAGTGTTTATTCAATGATATATCAAATATGCAAGCATCTTGCGGACTCGTATGGACTAAAGACTAAGTTTACGGCTAAAATGAACAATTTCATGTAATGATCTTCTTAACGTATACTCCAAGTGGGAAATGTAGCAGTGAATACAATATTACTTCAAAGATATCTGCAGCAAATTCGCAATTTAAACTGCAAATCATCAACAATGTCATTTAAATATTTTCAATTATATCTAATAGATTTGAACCCGAAGAGCACTTAAACGTGTATACAATTTTTATATTTTGTTTTGATAAACATCTAGTAAATTTTCGTTTAAATTAATTGGTGAAATAGGTTGAGTTTCTGTTTCTGATTTATAGAGCATATGTTAATGGTTTGGGTCTTTTACATTGTAAAATGTGTATTGAATTGTTTCATATATTAGGTATTTCCACTATTCTATAGGAAACCCTTTTGAATTTGTTCTAATTATTAGATCTCTCCACTTTTGCGTGGAAACCTTTGATTTTCCTCTGGTTATTTTTTTTCTTCTTCCGCCAATGTTTGTTTCTCGCATGTACTATTTGTTTCGCAACATGTCGCTTAGTTATTTGGTATATGTTATTGTACAATTTATTTTTCTCAAGCAGAAGTTGCAAATAACTGTCCTCTTTTCAAGTACATAGAAACCGTATACTTTTTGAATCGTTGTTTAGGCTACCTGTTTTCTCAAACCTTTATTGTTTTTGTTATCTTTTTTGTATTACTTTTCAAAACAATTAGTCTAATATCATGTGAAAAGACCTCCATTTGTTCTATGAACAATTGTTTTTTTTTTTTCTTTTTTTTTCATTTAAAGCATCATTTTGTTTTATCTTTTTTGCACAATTCTGCTTATTAACATCTAAAGCGGAACGCGTCAACTTTCATTTTCTGGAATTTGTCAAGTGGTGACGAATAACCATTAGTAATAATTGAACAACAGGGAATAATAACAAGAGGCAGATAATCATATGTATATTAACGGTAGATAAGCATATTTCATATGAAATTTGTATACATTTGTTGCTTCGGGTGATGATAAAAAGTAAAATAACAAAAATACCGAACTCCAAGGAAAATTCAAAACGGAAAATCCCTAATCAAATGGCAAAATCAAAAGCTCAAACACGTCAAACAAATGGATAGCAACTGTCATATCTATGACTTGGTACAGACATTTTCTCATGTAAAAATGGTGGATTAAACCTGGTTTTATAGCTAGCTGAACTTCTCACTTGTATGACAGTCGTATAAAATTCCATTATATTGACAACGATGTTTGAACAAAACAAACAGACATAATAGGTAAAAATGTCAAAAATAGGGGTACAGCAGTCAACATTGTGTTATAATCTTAATCACTATGAAAACACATAAATATATCAACAAAGAAAAACAAAAAGGCATATAGACAAAACACATTAGTAAAAGAAAGGACAAGAATACAAAAATTTCCATAGCACAATAACACAATGACGGGATGTATAAGTACCGATACAAGTCAAATTGATACAAAAAAAGAATACTATAACACGTTATTAAAATGAACCAATACATTATCTGTTAAATGTATTACCTAACCAATGTTCTCCGGAAGCGTTCCCAAATCCTTCTTTGTATTCCTTCCATGATCTAAAGAAATTAACGGAGAAGTCAAAACGTCGTTGGATTACCTGAAATATATATGATACTAATGTGTTTGCTACTGGCAATATTTCAATTGAAATTGAAATTATAAGAAAATGTGATTAATTTTGGAAAACTATCAGAAAAAGGATGTCGATTTTAAAAATTTTATATTTCAGAAACACTGCACCGAAGTACATACAATCATCGACATGAACTCGTATCAAACGTGAACTTTGATGTGTTGTTGCTTGTCTCAACAACCGGTACATGTTTTTGATAATAGTAACACGACGATATGCCCAAAAATGGATAACCATGTGCATATTTTGCATTCATACATCCATACCATCAAAACAAGCATAATTACAAATGATGTGCTATAACACAATCCCTGCATGATTTACCGAATATTTGCCATGCGTAAGTCGCGATTATTGGGTTTTCTGTAAATTGATTTTGTAAAATATCAGCGGCAAGCCACATTCGGATTTTTTTTCGTTTTTTTTTTTTTTTTTGGCGAGAGCAGCAAACATTGTGTCTGCGGATGATTCCTTAAGATATTTTTAGCACGAAACCCGATAACCTGTTTGTCGTAACATTTCTGATTTATTCTTCCTTTAAACAGCTTGTAGCTTAATTGTCCTAACGAAAGTAAGCTTGATAAATGCTGCCGTCCTATTTTCACGTCACTGATAACTTATCCTTTCACATTGTGTCATCACTGATAACTTCTCCTCATGTGAAAAAAAACCATGATACGAGAATTACATAGCTGTTAGTGCTGTTCTTCATCTCAAAGTCACAGTGAGGCCTTCAATCACGAATCAAAAAACCTCTCACCTCACTGCAAGTTTCAGACGGTCCCTAGCACCGGTTTGAGCGGAATTCTTTGCAAACTGACCAACTGTGAATTGAAGAACAAAGCCATGGAGTAATATGAGTAAGATAAATCTGGCAAAGAAATCAAACATGTACTGTAATAATAACTGTTTTGTTTGGTAATCTTATCTTTGTTAAAGGTCTCATAAATCGATTTTAGTTTTCCAAAGTTGCTTAAAACAATTTATTTAAATTGAAAGATTAACTAATATGAACATATCTTGGTTCTTACGTTGGTTTTTTTTTATGTCTAAATTATTAGCCATGTATGATTGCCTTATTAAAAGGTCACCCCCTTGATGTCTTTTAGTTTTGTTCTGTTGGTTTTGCTGTCAGTTTAATTATACTCCCAAACATTATAATCCTTGTACCTATAATGACGTTAATTACAACCACTGGGTCGATACCACTGCTGGTTGAGATTTTCTCCCTGATGGTATAAACAGCCAAGTAGTCAGCGCTTCTGTGTATGCCAATATCGTAGATACGTCATATTTTTAACCAAATGCGAATGCTGAATGTAAGATTTATCATTAAACAGGCATATACCGGTAGAATTCATATCAAAAACAAACTGGATATCACTTCCCAATTTTACGGTAATGTTGTTTATAAAGCCAGTGAATTTAGATACGATCAATGTAAACTCTTTGATCCTTTGAATAGACTTATTGTAAAAATATATGCATTTGAAACCGTGGTTAGATCTTTGAATAGTGTTTTAATCGGCACTTACATCGATTTTGTTTTTGGTATATCAAAACATAACTACGTATGAACGCTGTACATTTATGAAATTTAATGATCGTACATCCTGTCAATATTGTGTACTAAAAGTGTGAGATTGCACGAGTACATGTTTTTTTTTCAGATTCTTTATGACGTCTTTACATTACTTTTGGTGGATGTTTACTGATTGATACTTTAGTCTCGGAGACCATGATTCATCTATATATAGCTATTAGTTGATATCGGCTTTGAACTAGCTTTCAGTAACTCTGAGTAATCTTAGACTTTCACTTTGTGTCTTTTGTCTTTAGTAAAGTTCTGATCTGATGAGTCAAGCCATATATAACTGATTTGTACAGTTTGTTCTTATGTTGGGCCGCACAACAGATTATGCAGAGCGTCGTGCGCATAAACTGTTTTTCAACCAACCGCATTTTATATATGCATGTCAAAGTCAAATATTGTAATACAGTTGTTGTTGTTTGTTACTGCTTGTCCTATAATCGTTTATTGATTTACCTTTAATCGGGCTGTTGGTTTTTTCGTGGTCTTTTATAGCTGACTTTACTGTATGGGTTTTGCTTATTGTTAAAAGCCGTATGGTAACCTATAGTTACTTCATTCCGCTTCATTTTGGACTCTGTTTGATAGTTGTCTCATTGGCAATCATCTCTTTATAAGATGTATATTTCAATAATGAGATGTATGTGTATGATACAGCAAAACTATTCAAATAATGAAATGAATACAAATTTCGGAATTCGAAGGCTTTTAAAACATGACAAATATGTTCGCATTATTAACGTGTTATCAAATTTTGAATTTAAAGCTTTGTTATTTCTAAGACAACTTACCGTCCATTTTCTGTTGTCTTGCCAAACACAATAAGCACGTTTAGGTTGATTTTCACCCCTTGGGTAAATTACGAAAACACCATCTTTTAAAAAGTCAACATCAGCGCATTCCCGGGGTTTTACTGAAAAAAGGGTGTTTTGTATGTTTATAAAAATAACTAAAATTGTGTACACTTGTCTGAATTTGGCTATTTTTTTTATTTTTTTTTGGCTTTATTGTTATTTCTACTTGTATAATGTCACCCTGGTTTTTCTTTGGGTTTGTGTTGCACAGTCGTCATCTTAATTTTTCTGTAAAAGAGAGGCGAAAGATACCAAAGGGACATTCAAACTCATTAGTCGAAAAAAAACTGACAACGCCTTGGCTTAAAAAGACAAAGACCAACAGACAAACAATAGTACACAAAATACATCATAGAAAAGCATGAAAAAGTTTAAGTAGAATTTTGTTTGTCTTTTCGTCGATTATTTTTTTTGTAATGAGTGTTTTCGGTTCTTCATCAACTAAATAATTATAATTGCCCCTTTGGTATCCGAATATATTAACAATACCTTTGATTTATCATATTTTTCAGACAGAGTGTAATAAAATATTTTGTTATGTCTGAAACAAGGATCATTTCCTACATATTAAAGCATAATATTCTCAATACGTTTATTGTTTCTAGATAAGTACTGTACGTTATTCGGTGATTATATAATGCATATATACCCGGATAGTAGACATATGATTATGCTATAAACTGACAGCCTAATCATTGACTATGGACAACAATACAACATTTAAAAAAGTACTTCAGTTGAATTGCAATAGATCAATAGATTCATAAACACATTATGCGTGCAACAGAGAGAACAGTTGCGTTTAAGTTATTTTAATTAATCTGTGTATCATTTAAATGTAAAACTGAAGCACTTAGAAGAATCTAAAATGTATTTCATTGTCGCTGCTTTTCATAAATCATGCAACTTATGACCTAAAAGCAGTTTGTTTGCTCGTTAGTTACATACGTTATCCGGTGAATTAAAAAAACTAAAAGAAATAATCTTACAATTTTATTTTTTTTTCTGTCTAGATTAATTATTAAACAAACTGAAGTCAAATAACAATTTAATAACACACTGAAACAAGACAAAAATCATGATCTGCATGATCAGAATATAATAAAATTTAAATGAATCAATATTCAAATGAAAATTTCACATGACATAGGTCCACCTATCAACTAAAATAGCACAATTCAAACTTATTAAGACAAACAAATACCGTCAGAAAGTTTCCTATAACGACTTCTAGTATTGTATTCTTAACTTGAAAGAAAACAAATGTCGTTCAATTTTTAAGGTTTGACACAAAGCACTAATCTCATGTGGAAGTGCTTCTATTAAGTTTTATATAAAGCATTATTATCATATTTGTTTTTGTCATGTCGGTGTTTTTTATAGCTTGATATGACGTATTGGTTTTGCTGATTAATAAAACCCGTACTTTGACCTATAGTTGCTTATATCTACTTCATTTTGTCTCCTGTCGATAGTTATCTTATTGGCAATCATATCTCTTGATATATTATCATATTTCATATATTATTTTTTTTTCTAGAAACACATTCAAATGAGATTTATACTTTGTTTCAAAAACTTAGATACAAACAGAATTAAATTATTCAATGTTCAGGTTTATCTTGACTTTTGATCCTTTTGTGTATTTAGCTCTGTTAGAAATGTTTTACTCCTTTTCGTCATTTTATTAATCCTTAGTAGACAGAATAGCTCCAAAACATTTAAGCATATACGCTATAAATATTAAATTTATTTTAATTCAGTGCTATCATTTTAAAACAAAATTACTTAATAAAATCTGTACCTTTTTTCTCAACAGTCGTATAAATGATTTTTATACGACTGTTAAATCTTGCTGACATCTGCTTTTGTTCATCTTGAATTTGCAGGAAACTTGCGCAAGGTATATATTCTATCAAAATAATAATGATGATATTAACCAATAATATTCTGTATACAAATTATCAGAAACTGCAGATGTGATTGAATTTTGTTTAATTTATCAAAATGCAGTTCATTCCGAAACTTGAAAATTCAAAATAAATTTAAATGAAGCAAATCTTTGTTCACATTTACGCTATGCAGCTTTGTGACAAATACAAACTTATACAATAAGTATAATAAATAATTTATTTATCGCCCCTGATTCATGGCGGTTGGTGGAAAAATTCACTGGTTAAATATTCTGAGAATCCTGGGTTTTTTTACAGTTTCCATCATTTAAAATACACCAAATGTTTATATCAGAGAGGAAGAAACACTAAGATAACTTCCGATCGATCAATTATATTTACAAACATTCATTTACGCTGGTTTACGTGTGTGCACATATATCTATAATATAAACACGTGTTGACTACAAGCCGATCATCATGGTAGATTTAGGCAAATTGAAAATTGACCTATCGATGGACAAAACCATAAATGACTATCCTCTTTCATCTCTCCCATCAAAGCAAAGCAAAAGGACTGGTAAAGCAAAATTAAGCCTTTTCGTGCAAATTGACCCAAACTTGTATGATGAACATGCTAAAATCATCACATTCTACACAAACTTTGACAGAATCCAACCATGGATAAAAACACTAGATATTTACTATTATGACAATCTTGGAAAGGAACCTGATTATGATATTGAATGGTATGACGAACCCAAAACATGGGAAAACCGAAACAACAGTGGAAATTCTGTGATGATTGAAGTATTAAAAAAGGGGGAACTTCAATTTAATATTACATTTTTTGTCACAACAGGAACAATAAGAGTACAAGGCAGTCATTATTCTGAGTTTGTGGATATTCATTTTCCAATTCTGAAAGATATTCTTGATAAAATTCTTACAAACATATCACAAATCAGTCCTACTAATACATGTATTTCACACGAATGTCATGATGACAATAACAATACACACATTAATGAATTATGCCCTGTTGACAAGGTCACTTGTGTATTACCTGACTCCCAGACTGGGTTAAAATCAGTACTAGTACAAGAAGATCAACCTCAAAAAGATGATTATTAAAGGCTTGAATTAAATTTAGTTGACACGCTGGCTAAAATAGAACACAGTCACAATGAAAACTTCAGCAAAGTATTAACTGCTGTTAATCAATGCAATGATGATGTTCTAGTCTTGGGAAAAAGTAGAGAAGACGACAATGAGATGTCAACATTACAATTAAAATATAAAACCGTACAAACAGAAAAACAGACTTTGGAAGTTAAATTAAAACACGAGCAAAGCAATATTATGTTAATTAAAGCTCAACATGAAGATCAAATGAAATATCACAATCAAATACTGGAGGAGACTAGAGCAGAAATGAAAAAGGTATTAACTACTTCAAACTCTGAGATCGACTTTCTATCGGTAAGCCTACAAACCAAAAATGAAGAAATTGACAAACTAACTGATACTCTAAAACGACATACTCAACACTTGGAGAAATTACAAGAAGAAAATATCTCTCTCCGTTCCCAAAAGATTTCTCGATTTGAAGATTTTCATCTTGTCAATGCAGACACGAAATATACTGAAAAAACTAAACTTGACATTGATAACAAACCAACAATTATTTTGATTGGTACATCCAATACCAAACGTATCAATGCAGAGAAGCTATCGCTATCATTTACAACCAATAAGGTTACTGCTTTCAATTTAGAAGAAACTAAACAAGCTATTTTGGAGATATCGGATATAATTCCAAATCTAGTAGTGTTTCATTCCCTGACGAATGATTTGAAAATAAAATCACCACAGCATTGTGTAGAAGAAATACAAGACATTGTCAAGCTTGCACTTCAAAAATGGCAAAATAGTGGTTGCATCATCTCTCTTACTACTCCTCGACTCGACAGTGTAATTTTCAACACAAATGAACAAATCATAAATGCCTTGTTGAAACAAATATATGATGACAATAAAGATGTTCTACTTGTTGATCATGGCAATATGTTGCAAAATGGAAACCCAATTGCAGAGCTACTAAGTGAAGATAAATTTCATCTCTCTGACTCTGGCGTGTCTCAGCTATCGACAAACTTGAAGCGTGGAATACACACGGCTTTAAACATTCCCATGCCAAATTCAAGAAGTAGATCCAAATCGCGCAACACAAGAGGACGTGGACGTGGACGTGGCAGAGGTCATCATGAATAACTTGCTTTTTAATATTATACATATTACCATATCATTATGTTGACTTCCTTTAACATGTTTAAAGTCATTTACATATAATTTATATATACATGTACAACTTTACATATTTCTTTTTTTTTGGGGGGCTGATAAATTCATATTCACATTTGAATAGATTTTTCAAATGAAACAGCCACTATGTGAAGAAGTCACACTATTACATGGACATATATATGTAACCTCTGCTACGTATAAAAGTTCGCCTTTTTTTATTTTTATTTTATTCATTTTTAGTTTTAGTTTTCACATTTGAATCATACTTTTGATCTTGAATTAACCCATGATATCAGGTTATTCAACCCAAATCAATTTAATAGTTATTCAGTTAAAAGAGGATACATAGAAAAGAATTTATCTGTCATTATATCATAGACTATTTGTATTTAGAAAACCATTGTAAAAACTATCCTCTAAATAAATCTACTTATTTCAAATATTTACATTTCTGAATATTTTCCTTGTTGTCTCTTCCTTTTATTTAGAGACAAATTTTTATTATTTTTTTTATAGATAGAAAATCTATTCTTTTACTTATACCAGATTCAATTGTATCAACCAAAATGCCAAAATCAAACCAATCATCTGTAAAATTTGGTTATTGGAATATAGGTGGCTTATTTTCAAAGGGCATGAATAAAGCAGAGGATCCCCTTTTTCTGAAACATATAGAGAATTACGACATTGTTTTTTTAGTCGAAACTCATGTGGGATATAATTCCCAAATACACAATATTGGTAAATTTCATTATCATCCAATATGTAGAAAATTATCAAATAATAACCGTCATTTTGGAGGTATAGCAATTCTACAGAAAAGTCACGATGTCAAAATATTGATTAACAGTAATCCAGATTATCAATGGATTAAATTAGAAAAATCCTTTTTTGGATTCAAAAGTGACCTATTTATTTGTGTACTGTACAACCCCCCTGTTACGTCTAAATATACCCAAGAACTCTCTTCTGATGTTTTTGAATGCATAGAAAAAGATATCTTTCAGTATAAGAAAATGGGTGAAATTTTGTTATGTGGAGATTTTAATGCCAGAATAGGCTCTGAAAATGACTTTATAGTAAACGATGATTCAAAGTTTACTCCAATTTTTGATACATACCCTACTGACAAAAACATTATGACAAGAAAAAGTCGAGACCAAAAAATTGATCAAAGAGGCAAAGAAGTTTTGGATTTTTGCATTAGTAAACAAATAAGAATTTTAAATGGCAGAGTTCTTGGTGATACATTTGGTAATTTTACTTGCTATACCCCCAATGGTGCAAGTGAGGTTGATTATGTTGCTGTGTCGGAAGAAATTCTTGAAAATGTACTGTATTTTAAAGTATCCAGATGTTCCCACATTATCTGATTGTCATTGTAAACTTGAGTGGGAATTATCTGCAAAATAGTGTGTTCCTGGAGAAAATGATACTCCAATCCAGTTGAAAAATATGACACCTAATTATATCTGGACTGACTGTTCAGCAATAAAATTTCAAGAAACACTTTCTTCAGATACACTACAAAACTACATACTAGAATAACAGCACAATTCAATTTACTCAGCCATCAGTAGAAGAAGCATCATCAAAACTTTCAAACATCTTTTTATCAGCAGCAAATCTATCACTTAAACTACCTTTAAAAAAACACACAAACAAACAAAAAAACAAAAAGTGGTTTGACGCAAGTTTACAACAAGCTAGAACTAACTTGCTTAATTATGGAAAAATTTATTCAAGATTTCCATATGATTCAATTATCAAAAATCACTTTTATAAACTGAATCGTGAATACAAACAATACAAACAATCATTGATTAGTCAGCTGGACTCCTTGCACGAAGAGAATCCAAAACTGTATTGGAACTTAATTAATGAACTACAGGAAAAAAACGAAACACTAAAAAAAATGTGGAGTACAACCATCAACTTTGATATCACATTTCCAAAAGTTGTCACAACTGAAAGGTGAATTTCAAAGTAAATATACAGAGCTATGTGAAAAACTGAAACAGTTAGAAAACTCAAAATGTTTCAACGAGCTGGATTCCGTTATCACTGAGTCTGAAATATCCAAAGCCATTTCACACTTAAAATGCAATAAATCATCAGGCTTGGATAACATTAGTAATAATATGATAAAGAATGGACAGACTTTCCTTTTAAAAAGTTTTCAATAAATGTTTAATACTTGTCTGTCTTCAGGTATATACCCAACATCTTGGGCTGAAGGTTATAATACACCAATTTTTAAAAGCAACGATACAAGTGACCCTAGCAATTATAGAGGAATAACAATAACAAGTGCAATTGGAAAGCTTTTTAATAGAATATTAAGTCTAAGACTGGACAAATTTCTTCAGGAACATAAAATTATACATGATAGTCAAATTGGATTCACAAGGAAAGCCAGAACTGCAGATCATATGTTTATTTTGAACTGTCTTATTAACAAATACTGTAATTCATAAAAGAAGGTAGACTGTTTGCCTGTTTTGTTGATTTTCAGAAGGCTTTTGATACTGTTATACATACAGGGATCAAGATTAAACTACTAGATATCGGGGTTGGGTCTTATTTTTATAACATTATTAAAAGTATGTATGAAATTAGCAAATCATGTGTCAAAATTCAAAATCAAGTAAGTGATTTTTTCCCATTAGATATTGGAGTCAAACAAGGTA